GATAGATAGATAGATAGATGCATAGATAGATGGATAGAAACCGGATTCCAAAAAAGTTGGGACACTAAACAAATTGTGAATAAAAACTGAATGCAATGATGTGGAGATGGCAAATGTCAATATTTTATTCGTAATATAACATAGATGACAGATCAAAAGTTTAATCTGAGTAAATGCAACATTTTAAAGGAAAAATGTGTTGATTCAAAATTTCACAGTGTCAACAAATCCCAAAAAAGTTGGGACAAGTAGCAATAAGTGGCTGGAAAAAGGAAATTGAGCATATAATGAACAGCTGGAAGACCAATTAACACTAATTAGGTCAATTGACAACATGATTGGGTATAAAAAGAGCTTCTCAGAGTGTCAGTGTCTCTCAGAAGCCAAGATGGTAAGAGGATCACCAATTCCACCATTGTTGCGCAGAAAGATAGTGCAGCAATACCAGAATGGTGTTACCCAGCGTAAAATAGCAAAAGACTTTTAAGTTATCATTATCAACCGTGCATAACATCATCAAAAGATTCAGAGAATCTGGAACAATCGCTGTGCGTAAGGGTCAAGGCCGTAAAACTCTACTGGATGCTCGTGATCTCCGGGCCCTTAAACGTCACTGCACCTCAAACAGGAATGCCAATGTCAAGGAAATAACAGAATGGGCTCAGGAATACTTCCAGAGAGCATTGTCAGTGAACACAATCCACCGTGCCATCCACCGTTGCCAGCTGAAACTCTACAGTGCAGAGAGGAAGCCATTTCTAAGCAAGCTCCACAAGCTCAGACGTTTGCACTGGACCAAGGGTAATTTAAAATGGAGTGTGGCAAAATGGAAGACTGTTCTGTGGTCAGATGAGTCACGATTTGAAGTTCTTTATGTCATCCGGACCAGAGAGGACAAGGATAGCCCAAGTTGTTATCAACGCTCCATTCAGAAGCCTGCATCAATGATGGTATGGGGTTGCATGAGCGCTTGTGGCATGGGCAGCTTGCATGTCTGGAAAAGCACCATTAATGCAGAGAACTATGTTCAGGTTCTAGAACAACATATGCTCCCATCTAGACGTCATCTCTTTCAGGGAAGACCCTGCATTTTTCAACACGATAATGCCAGACCACATTCTGCAACAATCACAACATCATGGCTTTGTAGGAAAAGGATCCGGGTACTGAAATGGCCAGCCTGCAGTCCAGATCTTTCACCTATAGAGAACATTTGGCGCATCATAAAGAGGAAGGTGCGACAAAGAAGGCCCAAGACGATTGAACAGTTAGAGGTCTGTATTAGACATGAATGGGAGAGCATTCCTATTTTTAAACTTGAGAAACTGGTCTCCTCTGTCCCCAGACGTCTGTTGAGCGTTGTAAGAAGAAGGGGGGATGCCACACAGTGGTAAAAATGGACTTGGCCCAACTTTTTGGGATTTGTTGACGCCATGAAATTTGGAAACAACAGATTTTTCCCTTAAAATGACACATTCTCTCAGTTTAAACTTTTGATCTGTGATTTGTGTTCTATTCTGAATAAAATTAGATGTTGACACCTCCACATCATTGCATTCAGTTTTTATTCACAATTTGTTTAGTGAACCAACTTTTTTGGAATCCGGTTTGTAGTTAACTGGACTGGAGGTATGATTATTAGGGCTTTGTGCTCATCAGTTTTAAGAATAGCATGTACTGACAGAATGCTTTTAAAAAATATGGAAAAATATGCACAAACACAGTTTTCTGGGTTCACAGGGCATGGCTGTACTGTGACAAATGCGTGTAAGAGAAACAAGATCCTTTAACACATAAATAATGTCCGAATCTCTGCAAGAAAATGTCCCATCAAACATTTTTTTTTTTTTTAATAAAATTTTAAGAATGCAAATGCAGTACTGCTTAAACAGCCATTCCCACATTAACAAGGCCCTACTCACCGAAGAAATCTAACAAACTGTGCACATTTAATTAACAACTGGTGACTTTCATTGACTAAAGAGTAGACTACAGGGTACTCCTATGACTGTCTCCCGCTCTCAGTAGAAGCGGCCCACACCAAAGAAGAAAAATAGACCTGCTGCTGAAAAACAACTTGAATAACTCTTTCCCTAAAACATCAAACAAAACCAAGTGTTCTTTAAAGATAGCAGATGAGCATTTAAAGGTTTAAAGTGCTATAACCACACGTACGCAACGATTTTCCAGTTAAATTTAAAAGATGACAATATTTTTATTTCATACTAAATCTCATATAAAATGAGAAAATCATAGTGCTCGAAAAGTGACTACAGTGATAAACTCTCAATTACTGAGAAAAGGGAAAAAGATGCTCCTAAGATATTTATTTTGCCTTTTTTCAGTGAAAATGTGAAGTTTTTAAACACAATAATATTTAATCAAGTGACCCATTCAGTATCTAATTCATGAACAGGAAAACTGATGTTTTTATGTTATGAGTGCTTAGTGTATATTTAGTTGTTGTTTTTCTTAGTTCATATCTTAGATGTTGTTACTGTTTTTCTTTTGCATTTTATTGTTGGATGTAACTGGGACCCTGTGTACATAATTTCACTCCACCACATGTACCACATGAGGTGCGAATGGCAATAAAGAAACTCTGAATTAATGTGGTGGTGTCAATCAACACTAAATTAAATGTTTATGAGAGCCTGCGAATGTTTTTTTGTATGGAACCAAAGAAAGAAACATTTTCAGTCCATCCATTGATAAAGTCAACTGATTAGTCTTCAGCCTTGGGGTATCATTTTAAAAATAAAATGTTCATTATTGCAACAAAGCTTCAGATTAAATGGTAGTTGGAAACATAAGAGAATGACAGGACCCAACTTAAGACATGGAACAGGACAATATGTCTTCCACATAAATGGTAACACATAAACCACTCATTCAAACAATAATTTCCTTGATAACACAAAAATAGCAAAATTTTCTGATACTTTATAGCTGTGTGCAGAACAGCAAACTGCTGAGTCTATGGTTAGCAGGTCAAACATGCACGCATACTGACCCTGCACGTTTTGAGGCTGCTACATACTTTGTAAAACGTAGAGATCTGTTCTCTCTTACATGTCTGTCAGACTTTCTTTTTCACATATTTTATACTTGAGAAAAACTGCAGCATGGAACTCCTGATAAGCCCTTCCACTGCAGCATGCTAACAGAACAGCAACAACATGATTTGCAGAGATGTTGGCAGACGTTTTGAGCACAGTTTTAGATTTTTAGCTGAACATGGATATTGAAGAGCTGGTAGTAGCCAAGAAGCACTAATTAGCAACAAGCGAATGTAGGGAACATACCCAATCGCTCCCCGGCCGAGGCTATTCCCTTTCAGCCAGCACAGCCACGCAAAGTCACCAGACATTTCATGCAGTTCCTTCCATGCCTATTTTTTCTGTTTTTACATCGACGGCACACAGGTGCACCAGAGGTGGGCTGTCTCTGACTCCCTCACCACCTCAGTGTCTTCTGAATGGACCAAAGAGACCAGAACAATTTTCAATCCTGGACTGAGACGTCTTGTGAATGAGCCCAGTCGCTGTGCGAGATCAAAACATCATTTTTGCTGCTCGTTTGCATTACAAATTCATAAATACCAGTAGTAGGCTACTCCAAATATGGTTTCAGCTAATTCCATATATAATTTAAAGTCATGGATGGTTTTAAATATTTTTAACACGACTTAAATGCTCATCCACCTGAAATATTGAAATGACCAAAGGAGTCGATAAAAGAAACGTTAAAGATCAGGTGCGGGGACTATTGTGGCATTCCGTAGTAAAGACACAGTGTTGTTTTACAATAAACATTTATATCAATATTGTAGCATATAAACTAAAGGCACATCAACCTTAAGGATCCAGCAGGAGAGCTAAAACACAGAAAAAAACATGTTTGGTATGTAAGACAGGGAAGCAATTATTTTTATGAGCTGCTTTACTTGCCGTTGTAAATGTTGACTCAGCTATAAGAGCGAACATCCTTGCGAGCAGGAAGTGTGTTCAGTCACCTGTGGCAAGCCGAAGAGTGGGAGCTATCTTTTAACAAAATATTGAAATCCTGCAGTTTTTCAGATTCAACTTTGTTTTTAAACAAAAACTTGGACTTCAGTCGAGAGCAAGTGTGTGATCAACACGTTTCCATGCCACACGTGACATATCAAGTCACACAGGGTTAACTACTTTAAAACGTACAAATGAGACCGAGGATTCTCCTGACAACTCTAAGGAGAATAGTTGCTTCTTAAAGCAGGGCACTCGAACAGAGGCCTGTTCTGCACCAGACAGCCAGAGCGCTTTGCCTCCTTCGAGGCAAATTTAATTAAAACCAAGTCTTCTTCATTATTTAAGTCTCAGTTTACAGGCAGTCTATTCTCTGCTCCATGCTGAAAACAACTGAAGGAAAAAAATAAACAAGTAAACTGCTGATAATAGATTTTTTTTTTTTTTTTGGGGGGGGGGGGGAGGAGTGAGTAGAGCAATGTAAAATTTCACAAACATAAATACTAGAAGGCTTGCCATAAAAAAAGATTGCAGCTATTTTGATTGGATATTGAGACAGTGGTAACTGTATAGCATACATTAATGCTCATCTTACTTGATAAAAATGGTACGAGTTAGACTTTAACTTTACGGCTGCAAAAACTGTGACATAATTGTAAGGACTTCCAGTGACCTCCTGCAGCCAGTCTGAATGTTTCCTGGCTCAGTTCGACACTCATTCATGTAGTTAGACACATAAATTCTGTGTCAGCAGCAGTTCCTTGTCAAGCTCTCCAGCTCTCTCAGGCAAATAAAAAAAAAAATTGCCTATCACATGACAAACAAATCCTGTGGTGTCCTAAGCAGTGGCTTAAGCAATTGTGGTTGCAGCGTTTTGCATGAATACAATCACATCAACATTTGACTTTGAGGGCAATGGAGTAACAGTTCAAGCATAGACGTTTAGTAAAAAAATTTAATAAATTTAAAAAGCACGTGATCGTGCAGACCTACCCAAAAGCAGCAGCTTCAGCTCCCTGCGTGCATCCCTCTTGTCTCGTTTGAGTTGCTTCTCGATCTCGGCATTGATTCGTTTGGACTCCTTCGCCTCCTCACTCAGGCAACAAGCCATCATGGAGTCTAAAGTCATCACCGCATGAGCTGAAATAGCTCGTCTGACTGAGCAGCACCTTACAAAGGGTCTAATTATTTATTACCCTTCTAAATGCAAGAGTCCGCTTTTTCTACGCCTTGTATCCAGACGAGTTAACAAGTCTCTGTTGATGCTGCCAAATGTTTTTTTATTATTATTTTATATCAGACAGATGCACAAAAGGCTGCAAAGAAAGTGAACTGATAAAAAAAATCAAAAATGGTCAACACACACCTTGAGGTGTGTAAATAACCATTTTATTCCCCGTACTTGCCGAACGTGTAGATTTGAGTTTGAACCCAGTGGCTAGCATGAAAGCTAATCATATGGTCAAGCTAACGTTGATTAATTTTCAGTGTGCCGATGCTTTTTTTTGTTTAATGCTTTTGTCGATTAGTTTTGTGAAACGTTATAACAAACGATATTACAACTTCAACCTCAGAAACAGTGGGACACAACAGGCTACCACGGCCACATCTGTAGGATCCTCCGCTGGTAGCCCGGCCGAGTAGGAGCCTCGCCGCCCCGAAACACACACTGGAGTTCCGCCCGCGCTGTGCCACTGAGCTCCGGTCAAACTGTCCGTCCAAGTAGGCTGTCTCACCGTGTCAAGTCCTCAACCAACAACAAACCTAAGAATAATCCGAATGACAGCACTCGCTCAGAGCAGCTCCCTCGTCCACACTGACACATACAGTTAACGGGCTAACGGTTAGCCTGTTAGGCTAGCTCCGACAACCATCCCTAAAAAATGCAGACAGCTCGGACTGACAGAGGCCCTTCATTGCATTAACTTAACGCTCCAATGAGAACCTCATCCACACGAAGCCAATGAGAAGCGAAAACAGCTTTCTGGGAGCCTAAAGGATATTTTTCATCCGTGCATTTTATCGCTGTTAATTTTTCCTAGCGGCAGTCCGGTCCGCTCCCCGTCACCTACTCCTCTATCAGCCCGGGTGAGGCGCTGCTGCTGACGTATCAGGGAATGGAATTGATTGACAAGCGACCCAGCCAATGAAAACAGAGACTGTTGAATACATTAGGGCGGACCTTTCCTAAACCGTGAACTTCTCAAGTTTGCTTGAAAAGAACCCGAGGGGCGTGTCGGTGGACAGGCACCGCCCATCTGGTGTCAAACAGCAGCACAAGCAGAGTCTGCTGTTTGTCTCTGATCATCTGGAAACTGTATTTATTCGTGCAATGTGCTTAGATATAAACAAATTGTTGTATCGTTTATTGTCAAATCTACCTGCAAAGCATTGTTTTAAGTAAAAAAATACTGTCATCGGCAGAAAAAGGTCCACCTTCTTTGAATTCCAGGATTTCAACTGTCGAGCACGGTGGAAAAGAGATGATAATGAGGGCTTGTTTTGCAGCAACAAAAAGTGGGAACTTCTGCCTAAAGCTGGGACAAAAATTGGTTTTAAGACAACCAGTAAATCACAAAAAGAAAGAAAAAAGACAGCTGACAGAGGAAAGAATCAAGGTAATGACCCAGATGCTCAAAAATCTCAATGAATTACAACAAATTTTTAAAGACGAATGGGCCATATTCCCTCCACAAACGTGGGAGACCGATAAAGTTAGAGAACAACTACTTTAAGTTATTGCTGCTAAATACAGTTCTGATCACTGAATTATGTGGTGAACTCTGTTTTTCCACACACAACTTTTACATTTTTGTTTAATAACTAAAGAGTCTAGTCGGCTGTATGTTTTCACACACTCATTTTAAAACCAGATCATTTTGCTCATGACCTGATAAGTAAAACCCTGCAATCACAGGAGGCTGGATTTTCTTTTTCACATGATATATGATAGTGATGATGCATATCTTTTAAACCAACTACTTGTTCAACTGACCTCCAAAGCCAAGCTTACATAGATTCATTCAGTTAAATGTGGAATTTAACTCATTTTGTACTTGCAATGTTATCAACAACTATTTTTTCTTCTATACAAATTTTTTTAAAAGTCTACCGTAATTTTCGGACTATAGAGCGCACCCAAATATAAGTTGCGCTCACTAAAATAAATAACAATAACAATTTGTACATATATACACTGGGTTTGTGTATAAGCCATAGGTGTTCACATTGTAACATGAGATATTTACACACAATTAAAAAAAACCTTTTTATTAAATACGTACCGGTAACATACACAAATGTTTGTTTTTTTCTAAACAAGACCGGTTAAAAAAATACAGTAGCTTACCAGGAAGTCACCGATTGCTATGTTCATATTCCTCCTGCTTGTGCTCCACAGAGAAAAAGTTACACTGCGCATGCAGAGGAGTCAAAGCGCCATGCTTTCTTCATTTTATTAAGGATGTGGAATTATATGTAAAGTTAATAACAGACTCTACCAACAATAAGGCGCTTAGGACAATTTCTATCTGTAAATCTTTGCAAATATTTGTTTAAAAATCACACCCCTGGTTGTTTGTTCATATAAGTGTTGTGTTCGTCTGTATACTCCAGTCATTTGTTTGTTGTGTACTTGTCATTTGCTTTAGTAAAGATTTAAAAAAATTAAAAAGCATGCAGGGGAGTCCACTCTAACGGCGCATGGGGAGGATTCCCTGTTCTCTCCTTCCCTGCTTGTTTCACTGTTTGACTGTGACCTGTCCTGTAATTTCATTGGTCAGATTTTTTTTAACCTTCATTTATACAGGTAGTCTCACTGAGTCACGAGGACCCACCCCCCAAGAGAGACGTGTATTTGGCAGCTATGTGAGCGCCCAGGTGTGACGAAGCTAAATGTTTTTAAAAAATAAAGTTCTCTCTACAACAATGTCATTGTGAATTTAGCACATGAAAACAACAAAAGCCGACCAAAGTGCTTTATAATCTAGTCCAATTAAAATGAAAACAAGAAAAATACACCGTGTGTCACTGTGGGAGCACAAGAGAGTAAACAATAGGTACGATATTTATTCTTTATCAACTTCTTACAGGAGCAGCCCACTTCAACTTGAACTGATTCGAACAAGCGTATAGAATCAAGGAGATGATGTTTAGGTGGAAATATAAAAGTACGTCTGCTGCTGAGCGAGAGGAAAGTAATAAGACGAAAGTCAAATCCTATCTCCATACTTTACAGATCTGAGCAGAAAGAAGAACCAATAAATCTAAAGCGATGGACTTTTTTCTCTCCTGTCGTTTTATTTTCTGTCATTTTTTTGTGTTTTTTTAAGTAAACGAACTCGCAGGTGGATGGTTGTTAACAAGTTACAGCTTCCAAATTTTTACTTTACTTGCACACTAATTACTGATATTAAAATATAATGTGAGATTTGATTAAAATTTGTTTGTTTTTGATAGATCTTCATGACATTGCACTTAAATATTTAGAGAAAGCACATCTATTGGACTTTAATAGGACATTTACATAATACAAAGGTTTTATTTTTTGTTGTCAGCTCATGGATATATCTTTCACAACAACAAGAAAAAAACTAGCTTCATTTTTTCAGCTTGAATGAGAAGACAGTAAGGGACATCTTGTGGACATGAAATGGAATTACATCTGGGCAAATTAACTTTTTATTTTAAATGACACACACATGAAAGAGTTTGTGTTTGACCCGTTTCACATCCTTTTTTTTATTTCTTCTTTCAGTCTCACAGCAGCTCTATGACATCATTATTTACAGCATTATTTGAACATTGATCAAAGTCATTTGTTTGGATTTATTCCCACCTTTATCTGGAAATCTGTTATTTGCAAACATTTGCTCAGACATGGTGGCCAGTTTCAGATTTAGCAGCTGGAATGAATCAACCATAAACATCTCATTCATAAATATAGACTCGTATATTAAGAAAACAACTATATTTCCCTATTTTTTTTTATCACTTTTGTCTCAGAGCTGCACAGTGTGACCTGAAAGAATGTCATGCAGAATGATGTCAGAGGTCGACTAACGCCTGGTTTGTTTGGGATGATCGAGATCTTCCTGCCTGCCCACATCACATGACCTCACTCTAAATCTCCACCTACTGAAATAACAGACAAGTCCATTCATTCACTGCAGACACATCTACGCTTCCAAACAGGAACCACGTGCAGTCAAATAAATAACATATGACACTTTGAAAGAATTATTATTGTCTGTCAGTCGTGCTGTTGTCTACATTGTTGTATAAGGAAGCACGAAGGCACAAGCGCTTTTCGCTTCTGCTAAAATGTCCTATAGGTTTGGTACAGTTGTCTGTGGTTTAGTAAACCAGATTTTTTGAAGGATATTAGGTTTAGAATCACAGCACATTTCCTTAAAACTGAGCCAAACAAACAAAAACCTGCAAGATGTGGATCGACTTAAGCACCTGGAAATTTCTTGCGCGCCACCGTTGTTGAAAACCTTTTAAAATTTGTGTTTAAACATTTATAAATGAACATAAAGGGAATGAGCTGTTGGGAGCGGAGTTACCATCAACGTGATGGTAGTATTTCGTAGTGTTTTGGCCTGGTGGGACTGGTAGCCCTGTTTACGTTCTTTCTTTTGTAATAAGTGTTTTTTGAAGGTTTTTGCAGGTTTACTCAGGTATCAGCAGCGGCTTCGACAGCCCTGCACAGGGTTGGCCCGCTGCTGTACCTTTTTGTTTGGCCAGCTCACCAGGTCCTCCTTTAAGTTGGTACTTTGGGGTTTTGTGTTTCTTGGGTGGACACGGGAACTGGGGGTTCCTGGTCTTTTTCCTTTATTTCAGGAAGTTGCAGCAGTTTTTGAATAAACTGAATGTTTGAACCCCTATTTGTGTCATGTGTCCTCCTTTAATGTGTTATGTTTTTGGTGGACATAATATATTACTGGTGTGTTTTATATTTTTAACAACTTTTGGGGTTAAGCACATGCAGCAGGCATCGGCCCGGTATCACTACTAACGGTTGATATTGTTTTGTTGGGGAGAATCATCTGAAATTACACAAAAATGAGACGGGAGACTCATTACATTAGAGTTGCGTTTGGGACTAAAAATCCGGCCCGAACCATATCATTTTTTCCGAACCCGACCTGGACCCGACGGATTAACTGTAATTACAGGCCCGACCCCCCCCCCCCCCCACACACACACACACACACAAAAAAAGCCTTTTTTTTTCTTTATTAAGCTTTTACTGCTTTTGTAAGCAAAT